GAATGAGCTTCGACAAACGACACAGTCATTACTGTCTATAACCCAGGGTACTCGAGAAATTAAAAGTCGTGCATCAATCCTCGGAAAATATTTTTCTTTCACTACCGAAATGTTGACTTTTCTTTGAAAAATGCTCCTTCGCGTTTCAAAAATACAATAATACGTTTCAATTTTTGTATCCGAACAGCCCGAAGATGGCGGAACGCAAAATTTTAAAAGTCATTCCACTTTTGAAAGCATCGCAGGTATCGTAATACTGTAGCATCTACTGAAATATTATTTAAAATACAAAGAAAACTATCGTAGTATTTGAGAGAAACTTATTATTGCCTATAATCTCGGATACTCGGGGAATTAAAAGTCATCCATCAATCCTCGGAAAATAATTTCCAAAATTCAAGTTTTTCTTTGAAAATGCTTCTTCACGTTTCAAAAATACAAGAATAAATTTCAACTTTTGTGTTCAAACAGATCGAAGATCCTGGAACACAATTCGTTAAAAGTCATCCCGCTTTTGAAAGTATCGCAGATAGTGTAATACAGTACAATCTACAGTACCGCGAATCATTTAAAATTTAAAGAAAAATTTATCTTTGAGTATTTGAGAGAAGCTCTTTACTGTAAACTTCCAGCTGAAACTATTCAAATAATTGATTGTAGCTTTTAAGTACTGTACATCGATATAAGCTTCGGAAGGCGTCACATCCCGTGATGCCAACAATAAACACGTCCACCTGAGGAATTGATAACCTTACTCCACTGAATGTTACAATAAATAATACAGCACAGTATTAAAAAAAGAAATCAAGATTGTTTTTCCTGGGAGAATTCCCCTTCTTCTTTTCTGGAAGTCGAGACCAGACTGGGTATTCTTTTGTATTCATTCAGATCGAATTTTATGAGGCCGACGTTAGAACTTTTCCGTTGGATTCTGTAACCAGTTATTCGTGAATAAAACTTGGGAGAACCTGAAGCCCTGCCTAAAATTTTTGGCATTCGTAGAAAATACGTTCAAAACATGTTCTGCAGGCAATTTAAAAAAAATGAATACATGCACGGATTGTGACGCAAAATTTTCGGGAGATTTTTCAAGTACAGTATTTACATCTTGGTCACGATTCCGTTACTCTCGTATTTTTTCATTGCGCTCTCAAGTAGTAGCATTATTGGCAATACAAGTAGAACATTTTTACGAAGAAACGGCATGCACGAAGCAGAACAACAATCCCGAAACCATAATTCCCTTCTTTATCACGTAAAAGTAGCAAGGTTTCATGTTTTTATGACCGATTTTCAGATAAACCAGTTCTCGGATGCTGAAACACGGCTTTAAAAACGGGGCCCGGATCAGGTCATTCATTTATTACTGCGGGATGAATGGAGGGAATCCTGTTGGACGCTGATATATTTTTTCAACAACTATATTTTTTATAGATTTTCTTTTTATATTTTTTGCTGCTCACCTGATTTGGGGCCCTTGAGAGTGGCAATCTTTTCTTGTCCCGTGCGTCCGTCTACCAGCTGTCCGAGGCCGCCACTGAGAAAGCCACTGTCGTCTTTGCCGTCGTATGTCCAGTCGAGCAACTCGACACTTTGGTTCCACCGCTCACCTTGTGGCATCGAGTAACTCACCACTCCGCCTGTTTAGTAAAAAGAAAAAAGTAAAAAAAAAATATTCCAATCAAATACAAGATGCCAGAATTTAAAAAAGGCCTACTTTCATTTTCGTGCTTGAAAATTGGACATTTTTGCTAGAGAAAGTATGATGGATTTTATTTTGTTCATGGCATTTCATCAGAATCAGATGCGTCCACCCTTATTCCAGAGGAATGTGTGGTCTCTGAGAAAAGTAGTCCCCAACCTATTTGGGACCACGGACTGGCGAATTCCATAAAAAAATTTTGGACCGGCAAATTCCAAAAAAATTTCTGCAGACCGGTAAGATTGTATTAAATATTTGCAGACTCAAAAAAATTTGCTTGAAAGACTTTATGGAAGGTATTTGAAATATTTCTTCTTTTTTGTTGCAAAAAATGAGTTAAGATCTAATGAAGCAGACGTAGTGGAATGTCTTTAAAAAAATTAGAAAGGTGGTCTTGAAGAAAGGATTCTCAGGATGAAAAATGTAAATAATTAATTTTAGCATGTGAACATTTGCCCGAAGAATTTTCAGGAGAAAAGCCAACTTTTATTTTTCTTCAGAATAATTTCAACTGACATTTTCATTCTGAAAATTCGTATAAAGATAACGGACTTCATTGCCACTCTTGATATTTTTTTATGCTGGAGAAATTTTCACGTGGACTGGCAAAAAACCTCTGCAGACCACGGGTTGGGGTACACTGTCCTAGAAGATCTTCAATAAAATTGAGAATTTCATTTTTGTCGCAGTGAACTGAACATTTCAGTCAATCATTTTTTGTTTGAATTTATAAATACAGGCGGACTCCCTGTACAGCAATCTTGTCTAAAACTACTCTCTGTGTATAATGATTTTTTTGTGGTCCCATATAGAGTGCTCTCCCCATGTTATCGGGGTTCTCTACAAATAAATTTTTATGGTTCTTCAAGTTTTGCTGCAAAGAGGGTCCACCTGTAAATTACAGGCACCACCTGTAATCGCGCAGTTCACCGGCGAATCTAAAATATGACCCATCTAATATCATATACGAGTACAATATAGTATGTTTTGATTTCGGTTAAAATTTTTGTTCAAAAAATCATGTGCAAGTTCATATGACATGAAATTAGTCCCTAATGAAGTCAGGAATTTTTATTTGAAAAATTTTTTATAATCCCTTTTCGAATAAATCTCAATGGCAGAGCCTGAACGTCAAATTACATGTTCTGAGGGGTCTCCGCCTTGACTTACGGATATAGTGACCTTCGCCGATCTCTTGGAGGTCTTAATGCACGACCTTATTCACTCTACCTAATTTATATTCACGAAAAAGCATCAGATGATTCATTATGCGTTGATTCTATTGCTTTTTGGAGAGACGGCGGAGTCTCTCGCACCATCTTAAAAAAAATTTTAAGGTACCAGCTGGGAACAACTGCTCATTCAATGCAGAGGTTATTTACACAGACATATTAAATAGGATCAACAACTGTGGACCGCAAAAGCAGAGAAAGAGACTTCAAAACTTTAGTCAGATTTAAGGGCTGTGACACAATCTGCATCGGTTTATACAGTATTTCTTAATTCCTCTTTGTTAGTCGGGAATCGTGAGACATAGCGCTGTGGTCCTGATCCCAGATACTACCAAAGAATAAACTGATTAAAGTCATAGCTATTAAACTGATCTCTACCCAGATATCATTACGTAAAGTGCAGTGAGGTTCAGATGATTAGTGAACCGCCGGAAAACTGGAAGAAACAACAACTATAGTATTAATTGACAGTTAAGATGACATCTGTCTCCTTACGTGGTTTTACTACTAAATACATAACCTTTTTTGTAATATCCAAAGCGCCGAGCTCTGAAAACTCGGCAACTCGTCAAGATTTTGCCAAAAAGCTAGCGAGGCTGGATTCCCCAAAATTCAAATATTTTTTTATCAATCAAATAGTCGGACAGACCGACGAGTGAAACCAGCATTTTATAGCCTTGTGATGAAAATTTCCACAGCGCAAATAAACAAGTTGAAGAAAAAAATTAGATCTCGAGAATTTTGATTTGGAGCCAAGTTCGTAAGAAAAATGAATGCGCACGGAAAACGTCTGAGACACGGTAGGTTGAATTTCCCACCTAACTTCCCCTTTATATATATATTTTTTCTTGGTTTCTTTCCCGGGATGCCTTTTATGCTCTCCACGGAATAGGAAATCAACTATCTTCCTTTCATTTGTCTCGGAAGGAAAATTCCGCAGATTATCCCTTGATACTACCTGGTGTTGCGTTGCTTCACTGAACGTGACCGAGAGCAAACATCACTCGCCTCCGTGCTCACACGGCGTGACTTCTCGTGAAACGATCCCCGACATTGAGGAGAATAATGGAAGAAAAAGACCTCCACTGCGATATGACGCAACGCTTCACCAAACGTGTAACGGATTAACTTCCTGAGCCACCCGAAAAAAAAATTATAAAAAATAAATGAATACTGAGATATGAAAAAAAAAGAGGCGGAAAAAAGCACGAGGATTGAGATGCTGGGCTGACAAGCTGGCCAGAGGTGGCGATTAAGCCGTGAAAATGAACGCATGGATACAAGGATACAAGATTGAGAAGTGAGCCTATGCGAGATACGGTCGTAGCTTCGAGGCAGTTGATTCTGACACGATTCTGTGTTCATACAAAATAAAATCGCGAGAAGAAGGTCTGGAATTTATGCGAGGGTGTCTTCGAAAGTCCACGGAATCGACCATCAACCCGACAAATATCAAAGAGAATTCCGAATTATTTTCTTTTCTAATTTTCATTGATTCATTATGCTTTCTTTAAAAAATATTGATAAATCTCAATACTCAGACTTTAAAAAAAAAACAGATGCGTAACGAAAAAATCTCCGTTTTGTTTCAGACTCAAAATAGTTCCGAAAAACAAATAAGTCAGAGTCGAGTACAGTTGAACCTTGATAACTGGACCTCCCTAATTAATTCGATTTTTTCTGAAGTCCTTGTCTGACTTAGAAACAATGCATTAAAAACCTCCCTAACTCGTAGGCTTTTCCCCTCAACCCTCCATAACTCGAATTTTCTGAGGCCTTTTGGCTATTATTTTCTTGACACATGAGAGTGAAAAACATTTTAAAAAGTAACTTTATGTGTTTTGAAAGGAAGTGGAAGACTGATTGGTCAAATGAACCCCTGCCTCTATGTTCAGCATTCTGTAAACTCATTTAAGAAGCTATATAGAAGATCCATAATATCACCGTTTACAATTTCCTTCAATTCTTCAATGTTCTTCCACAACAAAAATGCTTGTTTCCCGAGCTCAAAACCTCCACCAGTGGAATTTTTTTCTGGTCCCTTGAAATTCGGCAGTACAATATAAGCACCGTTCTTGAGTAATTTTTTAAAAGTTTACAACAGAGTTTCGCGGTAAAATTTGCGGAAACGCGGTTTTCATGTAATCTCACAAACCTCTGTCCGCACTTAACATGGTATTGAAGTCGGTATACGAAAGTAGTTTTTCTCCCATTGTATCGCCGGGTAATAAAAACCCACGGTAGCGGCTCTTCTTCCTCTGTGTGATTCATCAAAACCCAAGACCGCTAATTACCGCTTTTTCCTCGGCTGACATTCTCGACCTCACATACGCAAAAAATACAGACAAGAAAGACGAAGACGGCGAAGAAAAAAACTATACTTTTTTCTCTTCCTCGCACGACGATTCCGACACACGATTCACAATGGATTCGCTGCCCACCATTTCCTCATCATTTTCCCTTCGCGGTCACGAGCAACTCAACACTATACATACCACTCGTACAGAGTCGGAGGCAAGACCTCGCACGACGATTCCGACACACGATTCACAATGGATTCGCTGCCCACCATTTCCTCATCATTTTCCCTTCGCGGTCACGAGCAACTCAACACTATACATACCACTCGTACAGAGTCGGAGGCAAGGATAAAAAGGAAATGAGTAAGTTCCCTGCTTCGTGCGAATAGTGGGCGAGGGCAATTACTGGGACCCAGAGTAAATGAATTAATTCGAGTACTCACCGGTATAATTGCAACCGTGGAGCTCCACTCGCATGCATACGGTTCGCACGTGGTGCGAAAACGGCAGGATTCGGATTTTCGATGCGATGATGGGTGGGTCCAACGCGTTTTTATTGGCGACGTACGTGTTCCGGTTTCCTTCCAATATCTGAGCGAGAGGGAAAGCAAATTTGCATCATTATAAATGCACTTTGACCCGATTCTCAGACAGAGAAAGCAGTACACAGCCTATATACATCGTAGGTATAATTCTGACCGGTGAGTTATGCAATTTCCTACTATCAATCAAATAGTGAAAAATTAGCGACAACAACATTTAAAAAAATCACAACTGTCTTCCACACCGAGTATCAGTTTTCGACTATATTCGAGTCGGAAACCTCAAAAAGTTTCGAATTTATGCAATTCGACTGCAATTTACTAAAATATACTGCGTGTTCTTTCTGCTAAATTCATGTCTTCAAAAATTCCTTCGAGTCTTCGAATCTATACGGCGTCTCGTGTTCCCATGATTTAAACAGTTCGGCTGTCTGAAGGACGATTAATGGATCTCATTATTTCATTGGAAATGCTTTTATGACTGGGGATAATTCGAGGATCAATACTGTGTACAATCAACATAGAAAGGTGACCTCGAAGTTAAAAAGACGAAAACGCTTTTAACTTTTTCGTTGTCTACTTGGTCAAACTTGAACGTGACAGAGTAAACTTTTAATAATGTTCGTCAGCGAGGTCGTGAAAAAAAAGACCACACATTCTTTACAATAAATAAAGTATACAATTCACAGAATATTGTCGAATGAACAATATTCCGTGTTACGCTATTCCGATTTGTCAGAAAATCATATTTTAATTTAAGATACTTTATTTAAAAAAATAAATCAGCTACACCTTATATCATCGATGGGGTCTTTCTTGAAAGCCTGGTTTTATACAGAGACCCTCGTACAAGTTTAAAACGTTTGCGTTTGAAAAAGTATTTTGAACATACAGTCTTTCAATGAAAAACCACCTTAATTTTCGCGAAGAAGGTTTATCCAGCAATTGAAAAAAATAATACTCCATCTGCAGCCTTTTTTTTAGGTTTTCCGAAACACAGGACTATGGCCGTTCAAGGAGACTTAAACATAACGCTGAAGTTCGTCCATGTCTCTCATAAAATTGATATACTTCTGATGTTGTTTGCGAGAGTAATTCCATGAATTTATGACATAATATGGAGAAAGATCAAAATCTTGCTTCGTGCAGCGCATTTCAGCGATAGGCGAACATCATCTTTCTAATTTTGCTCGTAGATGATACTCTCAAAGTTCATCAGAATTAGCGTCACCATCGATCAACATTCCCGTAAGGGAAAGTCCAGAAGGCATAAAACGCCCTCGACTTGATCAAGATGATCGCAGCGCTTTAATAGCTTCGTGATAAGTGCCGGGATGAAATCATTAACGTCAGCTTGATATACGAACCCTCCGCACACTGCAGCTTAATCACAACAAGAAATCTCCGAAAGTTCGTCGAAAACTTCCGATAAAAACATGAGACCAAAAAGTAAAAAAAAAAAAGGAAAACATTCCTGCCGCAAAAATTTCAACCCTATGTTCGTTCTCCTGGAAAGGAGCGCAGAACCCTCTTGTCCGGAAATTAAAAGCATTTCGCATAATCTACCACGCAGATGGGCAAAGTATAACGGCACTGGGTCGCAGCGGTTAATTACACCGAGGGACACTAACGGGTTTCTTATATTTTCTTCTGCTCTTTCTTCGTCTTCCTTTTTTTTTTAATTCTTCTCTCGAGCGTATAATTCGGCAATAGGAACGAGTTAATTACCTCGCTCGGAAAAGGAAATGCTTTCGAAGTGGCGTTGCGGAAATTAACCGGTTGTTTCTTTCTTCTTCGGAGTGAGCTTCGGAGCATAATGTCCACGAGAAAACGTGGTAATTAGGGTCGGGATATTAGACATATCTTGCTAATGTTTGTGTTTCGTCTCCCTTCGCTTTACCAAGGCATGCACCGTGGCGAAACAGAGAAAACACTCTGATACGCTGGTTTTCGTGCCACTGATTTAAGAAGACGTCTATTCCATGTGCTGGAAATGTTGCACAGCTAAAACTGGTTGTTAAAAATACATTTTGAGAGATGAATACTGCACAGCTAACATTGTCTTTTTTAATTAAGTACAGTTTAGGAATAGAAAGAATGCGCCATTCGTTACCAGCTGGACAAAGCATACCATAATTGAATACGATCCTGGAATTAAGTTTAAGTTACCCCTGTAATTTGTAAACTAAGTCGAATCGAAACGCGAAATACTGTACAAACCCTGAAAGCATAATACTGTACTCTAATTTATCTATTAAATTGCATTACTGTATTTCATCAGAGCTAAGCGACAATTTTTAGGGGTCACCTCTTGAATGACGGAGGAAGCTTTCCCAGAAATTTAATATGAGCATTAACACTTCAAAAAACAAAACAAAAATGTAGGAATGAAGAAAAACATTGAAAAATATTGTGAAATTTTTCGTTGTCATCATTTCCAATAGTCCTAGTCATTCATACAAAATATATCATAGAACTGGCCATATCAACCTCCGCAGACACGAAGTTGGAACTAATTCTGTATCGCATTGAAATTTGACCTATAATCATGACTTTTTACGCTGAACAAAAATTTCTGAAACAGTTGAATTCTTAAGTTTTGGCCAGCTGATTTATTGGTTATTTTATTCAAATCGATCAAGTAATTTTCAGTAGGCTGATTGGAAATCGGTTGCGGTAAATTCCTGGGAAATTGTCCACGAGCCTAGGAATGATTTCGTCAAATCGGTTCCAGTCTGATCCAAAGGAGCGAATTTCGTAGGATTCCTACTCGAATTTCTGAATTTCTGAGAAGGCATTTCGGAATAGGTAATGTCCTGGACGAGTAAGGCATGACTCTGATGAATAAGTTTCGTCAAACTACCGGCGGTAAATCAACATGCCGTTGAATTTTCTTCGATTGGATTCAACGAACCTCGAAGGAAAATTTTTTGCTTCATATTTTATGCTTCAAATGCAACAGAAAAGCTGTCAGAAATAGCGAGATTTTTAGCACGGGTGAAATCAGTACGCACAGGAACGAGCTAAATTTTCCCGATTTTACAAACGTCATTCAGAAATCCTCGAACTTGAAAAAAAAGTACTCATTGCAAGTCGGCGTCCACCATTGTGGCCGAGGAAGCGATTATATATATGGTCAAAGCAAGGTCCGAGTGTTTCCTGCCTTTTATTTATTTATTGTGCCTCACCTCGGTTCCGTTCCTGGCTTTGTAAGCTCGCCACTGGTTGAAGCCCGGCCGCCAGTACTGTAGTCGGTACTTTTCCGAGTACTCAAGACCCTGGCCGTTTCCGAATCTACCCTGGGACTCGACGCCCGTGATCACATGCATGGCTTTCAGGCGAATTTCCAGCCACTCTTCCATCCCCGTCGAAACGAGCGTATTCGGACACCAGGCTCCACCGTCAATTTCGTGACCGAGTCTGAAAATAGTAATGAGACACACAACGCGTATTTTTATGACTTGAGCCTCCCTTGGTTTACGACAAAATTTCCTGATCTAAAAGCATTGATGAAACATAAAACGCGCTACATTGCAACACCGTTTCAGAACCAGTACTCCATGAAGCCCTTGAGGCACCGTCTGAATAAAACTTTCTGCGAGATCCGCGACGGCTCCCCGGAAATGTTTGAAAAAAAAAAACTTGAATGCAAAAAGAGAATAAGAAAATATGCAAAATCAATCACGGTTTGGGCATAAAGCAAGATTTCGAGCTCGGAAAAGTGCTTGAAAAAATTTGATGGAACAACGCGGTTCTCTACAGACGCTCGACATAGTTCTTATAGTGGCTCCACGATTCACCGCAGGAATGTATGCAAGGAGAAAGTAAAATGAAACGAAAGAAACATAAAACCAATTATAATCCATTAATGGTTGTGAAGGAAATATGTTCCATTAGATTCAACGAGAAGTGCCCGCAAAAATCGGTTATTAGGATTATACAGTACATCTGTAAATCACGATACAAATCTACAATTCAATATTTCTTAAAATGTAGGACAGACCTTAAATGCACTCACTCACTGCACAGCGATGCTCAGGGAGAAAAAATTAATCCAAGGACAATTAATATCTTTGCAGAAAATGTGTGTATTCCTTATTAGAAAATCCGCCCTAACAAGAGGGCAGATTATTAAATTGAGAATATCGCTGCAGACGAAATATTAATGAACAGCACAGTAAAAAATTGTAAACAGACCAAAGGGCATCGATATTTTTTCCAAAAACGATTTTCGGGGTCATTTTCAAAGCAATGTACACAATCTAAATTGTGAAACGCTGATCCGATTCTCAATTTTAAAACTTAAAAACGTATCAATGCTTTAAAATTAAATTCAAAAACCTGGAGTTTTTTGCGTCTTTATTTCAATTTTTCCAAAAATGTAGCCCCAATCTGACACGAGCAACATGAAAAGTTCCATTTCAGATGATCTATCGTTATGATTAAAATTCTTTGGAATTAATAATGATTTTCGTTCGATAACTAATATCCGACGATATTTCTAGCAATTATACATGCCGCAAATGCTCCTTTTGAAACTAGTTGGTCAAATTTTTGCTTTAGAACTCATTTCCTATACAAATGTCTCGATCTGTGTAGGAAATCATATTTTTCGAAGAAAACAATGGATCGCTTCTCTAAGCAATGGATCGTTACAGCAGATGAAAGCCAAAAAATTGGCATTTCCATTGACAAGGCTACTATTTGACCACGCAAACATCCTTCCTTAGATTCTTCTTTCTCTTATTAGAATGATTTTACGAATACAATTTCCAACTTTCTTTCTGTAAAACGATCCATTCCTTTGCGGCAATTGAATAAATAGTCTGGAATAGTTATAAAGGATTGGATAATTTTTCATATTACTGTTACGCAAAATAAGTCGTTCAATGATGACTTTCCAATCACAGGGTTTCAAATTTCGAACTAACGGAGGAATTTTGCATTAAAATTAATTATATTACACAGTAAGCTTTAGGTTGTCGGAATTCCATCCAGAAATAGTGGGTAATTAAGAGCACGTTTGTACACATACGATATCTCTTAGAAAACGTTCATTTTACTTTCTTAGATTGAGTCGTTAAATTACCAAAAGAAAACTGTCTCGTGTTTCACCGCGGCGCAATTACAACATTCTGCACATGCTTCCGAAAATCTTGTTCAGCTCTAAAAAAAAAAAAGCAGCTGCCGATTTCAGTTCCATTCTAAAAATAACGCGAGGGACAAAAATCATCTCGCATTCGTCGCAACACGGACGACGTCGTCAAGAGAAAAAAAAGTTTTTTATCCTTAGCCAGGCAAAGAAATTCTAATGACTCGTTTTCTAGCATCATAGATGATCATAATCAGGTCCTGTTTAATAATTTCTGGAACCGAAAGGCTATAAAAAACGGAAACAGAACCAGGTGGTCGGATTCCGACGGGGATAAAAATGAAGCACTAAAACGGGACTCGGAGAAAAATAACGCACGTGGGTTGACTCATAAGTCTCAAGACTAATTAAAACTTTTAAAAACAATGATTCCTTTTAGCTTTTTGAAGACATAACAGTACAGCCGCATTCATTGAAACGTCAGCGCTGTTCAATGGCATTTTTTCAACATTTTCACACATGCATCAAATGATTGACTCTTTCTAAAATTAAATTCGATGGACTAGAAAAAGCTTCATCCTGGGGATAATTTCATAATTCCACGAAACTAATAATTTTTAATTCAAAGGAAACGAGAATGAATAAATTCAAGGGACTAGAAAAACTTCGTTCTGTGAGAAAATTTCTTCGTATAGAGAACCCAAAAACATGGGGAGAGAACCGTGTGAGGAAACAAAAACAAATCATCATACAAAAGAAGATCGTTGTAGAGAGATTCCTCCTGCATTGGCTTTATTGCTTCTGTATGACCTTTTATTTTGAGAATTCTGAAGACACACTTGAAACTATGTTCCTGTCCGGCTTTTCCTCGCAATTAACAACTGAGAGAATAATGACTAAAGCGAAAAATTGCAATCAGCTTGGGTGACCGAAAGTGCCTCAGTCTCAAAACTTACGGGCCATCCCTCGACTACAGAAATTTGTGAATACAAAAATAAATAAATAAAGAATTTAAGAATCTGATCCACAAATCGATATTTTTTTATATTCCTCTTTCTCTTTCCTTATCGTTCTTCTCCTACTGCCAGACTATCGTTGCGACACCAAGGCACTAAAAATCCGTCGATCGGCCCGACCGACTTTCCATCCCCGAAACGTTTTACGATCATTACTGGATTCTTCCCCTGGTATCTCATCCCCACGGTTCGGCTTTGTCCCACATCTTATTTCTTCCTATTGCTATTCACCCCAGCCGTGGTTTCCTGGTCGTGCTTCTCTTTCCATCAATTTATATACGGTGTATAATTTATATATACTGTACAGTATATGGCGTTCGCAGTACCGTATACCCAATCGTAAAGTCTCTTTTTTAAAGACTCCTGATGATGACTAGCAAGGAAAATGAAATTAATAAATAAGTGTTTTGACGTTATACTCGTTGCTTTGCGACATTTGCATAATTTTCCAGGAATTTATCTTCCGTTTTCATGCATGCATTCGCCTTGCGGACTTCGTTTGTAAAGTCAAACGGAGTTATACTCGTGCACGTCAGTTTTGAGTACTTAATAAGACTTGAAGTCATTTTTAACATCTTATGAAATATTCATGCAGAGAAAGTGCTTTGAAGCACAGGAGCAGAGAAACTTCGCTGCGAGAAATCGGGATGGAATTTTGAAACGCGAATCAAGATTCAAGAAATATAAAATTGAATAAAATCTAATGAGAATTAGGCTTTTTGGTCATACCGACTCGAGCGAAATCTATGCCTACAATTTTCATAGCCACACGTTTTACATTTGACTTTAATATGTCATGACATGACATCAAGTTATAGATTTTTTTTTTTTAGTTGGAATGCCTGTTCTTCAGAGTCAAAGGTTCTATACGTAGTTTTATTCCACGAAAATCAACGCCGATTTATTATATTTCACAGTAGATTTGAATTCAAACTTTTTCTAACTTGCTCATTATCGAAAATACCGAGATGTCGTTGCCTAAGCTGAATGATGGAGAAATCAGCCAATCGTGTTTTCCATACCAGAAAAAAGCTAAATCCTAAATTTGGAAGTGAAATAAAATATACATCCCTAGAGTAAATTACGCTAAACATTTTGGAGAAACTCCTGCCAACTTTTTCACAGCTTTCGGGGATAGAACTACGGACAATTTAAATCTGGAAAGAAGAGATATTTCAAATTTATACTCATAAATAAAATATTCTGTGAAGTAAACGAGAACAAAATGAACGCAAAAAATATAACTGATTTAAATTTCTATGCTTGCGTTGACGCTGAAACCTGTGCAGCAATCGGATGCGTCGCAAACACCGACACGATGAACCACAACAAAAGAACACTATATGGTTTTGTTGCTCAACTCAATACAATGCATCTTTATTATTCGCCAACAATGAATAAAAGTCAAGCTTCCTTTCTCGAAGCATCTTCCTTTGGGTCTAGCGGGAAAAGTAGTTCCGACATTCAAAAACCCGCGGGTTTCTTCAATTGAGAAAGGAAAAATGCATCACTGAGAATAAACTCAAATCAATCTTCAAGAAGTCGAGTTAATGGAAAATATAAATTGTATTTAAAACGTCACAAGTCTGTAGATTTCGTGTACTTTAATTAGAACCCACGTTGAAGGGATTACAGGGCACGGGAAGTCCCATGGTCCCATTCTCCTCAGAGCTTAAAGGAATGTGGTCCGGATTTTCAAGCGGGTCCCAAATCTTTCCCCGGGTTCGTTTCTCATTCATCAGACGCCACACATGACTAAACCGAGTAAAGAACTTGACTCGCAGCAAGAAATAAAAAACGGAAACTTCAAAATCAACGGAACAAGAGACACATGCCAGAAAAAAATACAGTAATTAGGCCAGAACCAACAAAATCCGTTGTTTATTGATGCTAGGGTGACGAAAGCCGTTATGAATCATGACCTCCTCGAATACCGCGTGAGAAAACAAGTACGACCAAGAACAATCCGAGTCACTCACCTTTTTAGCATTAAAAGAAATATAAATAAGAATAGCAGAGAGTTGACATGCTTCAGAGCAAGAGAATATAATGAAGTAATTGATGAAATACCAGGTTATACCCACGGTGCGATGGGAACCAAGGTGCAAAAGGAATCGGAGTTTGACCGGAATGACGTTTTACTGCGACTCACCTCGCATGCCGAGGACCGACGCTGCTGACGTCGAACGACGACGAGGCTGAGAGTTGCTCGTCAGCGATGTCCCCGCTTTTCATCCCCAGGGCTTTGTTGCAGCTCTCTGTAAAAGAAAAATAACAAAGGAAGAATAGCCGTGAGTGCCACATAAATCATTTGATTTTCTGTGTCAACAGGTTTTTGTCTTCTGAACGGAAAGCTCACAAATCTAGTAACTGCCGTGGGCACTAGCTATAAGCGGACGAAGATCGGACAAGTAGGAAATGTGTTCCATAGAAAAACTTGAATATTCCGACAACTCAATGAAAAAAAACCATTAGTATGCATATAGGTACGGTGCATTTTTATGAATAAAAAAGTAATGATTCAATTTCTAAATAACTCTCCATCGTGCTTGTCGAAGATGTTTCTCGTGATATTCATACTGTGTATCATAAAGAGGTATTTTAATTATATCTTCTGGAACCTAAGGTAGTTTTTTTTTCTACAAGACGAGTCCGAATTTCTAAACGCACAAAAGTTGCCCTAACTGATTTTTTATTCATTTGTGAACGTTTATCGATTCTGAGCAAACAGATTTCCTTTTGCAGCAATATCTTCTATCATGCGGTATTTTCTTTAAAAGTCTGCAGGGTTAAAAAAAACTGATGTCAACTGGGAATACGGTATTTATTTTTTCGAAAGAAAGAACTCAATAAATTTAAAAGCACCTTTTCGAAACTTAGGATATATTTTCAAACTCGAACCATAAAAAACATCAGGAGCATAAAAATGTAGGATAATTAAGAAAAACGTGAAATTACAGTTTAAAATGGATATATTTGCATGACACTTTTATGGGAAAGTAATTTGAAGCCACTCGTAACGGTGACAAACTTGGTACGAGTACTTTCAACCCTAAAAAAATGGAAAATGTTTTTTTTTCGAGAATTTCATTCAAATGCGTTCGTCAGTAGGAAGATAATTGTGTCAATTTCAATTGCATGCTCTGTTTTTAAAATTAGAGCTTGCATTTTTCAAAAGATATTCCAGTTTCAAGATTGGTCCCTATTCGATTGTCTTCTGGATCACCTCTAAATATGAATCATCGTTAGCAATTAATACAATAATCTCTCTTTAATTTCTCAAATTTGCTTCGCGCAAGACGCATTTTTCTCTCAGCAGAAGTAAACTGTTCTGCCTTCCATAGCAGTGTGAAAAAAAAAAACCTTCCGGAACATGAGCCGAACGGAGGCGATGAAAAATGTTCATCGCATCATTATATTTTTTCTTCGTTCTACATAAAAAGAAATCTTTATACAAAATCCGACAGAAATCCGGAAAATATATCCGTCAAAATTCCGCCCCTCTTCCCGAAATCCGACCTTATGACCCACACGTCTCCCCCCGTAAAAGAAGAGACGTGCTCGGGGATCGCAGCAGCAACCCATGTTCCAGCTCTTGTTCCTTTAAGCGCATCGATTATTATTTCCCACGCATGTTAAAAGTTATCTCCCGATTCCGGTCACACACACACATGGCAAAAATAAAAAATAAAGAGAGAGACGGAAAAATCAGGGGTTGTAAGTTTCGGGGAGGGACGATATTTTAAATTGAATACGGGATACAAATATTTTATTTTTCGACGCCCGGGGATTTTTCGGCGATTGCGTGCGCGAGGGCATTCCGACGTGGTCGCACGTCACGACCCGCGTTCCGCCGCCGTTTGAAACGGAAAGCATTCTTCTGTCCCAAAAAATCCATTCCGGCGGCGAATCGTGAGGGACATTCTTTTCAGCATGCGAGAAAGGAAGGAAAAAATTAGTACGTCGTCGTACTAGCCTTTCCCACTGCTGCTCCGAATCGCCGTCAACATTTGAGCCCACATGGAACAGAAAATCCTCGAACAAACGCGTGAGGAGGTTCTTCAGTTTATTCATTTCTCTAATTTATCTTTCTACTTCGCTTTGTTTTCTATCACGCCGATAAATTTTGCAAGCACTAGCGTTTCCTCGCGTCAAAAAAAACCTAAGTAGATCAGGGCCTTTCGACCGATGTTACGGACACCATTAAAGGTATAACGCACTTTCCAGGTGATGCATGAAATTATCCATTACAAAATCCAGCTGTTTTTACGAGTTGCACGAAGATTTCATTAAATTTACAGGCAGCTGAGGAAGGATTTAAGTGAATCATTCATTTCAAAACCCACGTAATTTAAGATTAAATATCAGACAATCGTAAATAACTGTGTATTTTACCTGAGGGGAAGAACAAACTTTAAAAAAATTAGCACCTTGAATGTGCTGAAAAAAGGCGCTGAATAGGTTTTCATTTAATCATGAAGTACTGTACATTCAGAATGTGGTACATAAATAGTTGAGTTCAGAAATAGAAAACTCATCGAAAATCTTGAACAATCATGCATTAAATGAACCAAGAAATTATATACACTGAAGTACTATATAAGTGTATGCTCAACCAACTCCGAATTTTCAAAAAAATGTTTTGGGGTTTTAAACTTTTCAAAACGAAACATATTGTCCAAAGTAAATGTAAAATTCTTGAGGAACATGAATTTCACAATTTTTGGGGGAAATATGCACAACACAATGTAATTCTAAGCCTAAACATTTAATCACGGAATACGTTTCTTCATTTGTGCAGCTGACTGAATTGTTGACCTTTGATTCTCTGAAAAAACTTTATGCATTATGGTTCGAAAATTTGTGAGGAGGAATAGGAGGAAGTAATTTTCCTCCTTTAGTTGAATTTCCTTAAACTGATCAGGCCATTAAACTAAGGGGGAAATTGAGGAAATCTTTTTCGTAAGGTTTTCAAGATGGGCGATCGGAACTACGGCAAAAAGTATAATTCTTCCGCAAAAAAAGATTTCGTTTTAACTCTCGCATTTCAGGGGAAAATATCGTAAAAATAAAGTTTGCAGAATGCGAAGACAGCCGCGAAGCTTCACTGCTTAGAATAGGAAAGTTTGCGGTATCTCTCGTAATAATCTAAGAGTGGAAGCCATTTAAAATGAATTTTCAAATGCCTAAATATAAACAGCGATAATTGCTCCACGCGATTGGTCGATCAATTCTTTCGGACGCTTCAATGCAGATTCAATCAATCTTATTAGACCATAGTGGAGCTGCCGAAGTCCTTGTTGAAATATAATTCTAAAAAGGAGCCTTTTTCATCCACCTTTTATTCTTTAATAACTTCTTTTCTCCTACAAAAATGACAAATTTCCGTGAACAGCCTACATCCCTCGAAATACTGATACACACACACACGCGTTAGCGAGAATTCTTTGCGGATCTTCCATCTTCACCTTCAACTCAATCCAACTTTCCCTTCATGAGCATCCACGGAGCCCCAGGGAAGCTGACGAGGAGCCCTTTAGGCTCCGCGGGGCACAGACTGGGAATTCTGCTTTAATTA